ATATCCTCACCCGCTGGCTTAAAACTGCCACCCGAGATATCCTCACCCGTTGGCTTAAAACTGCCACCCGAAATATCCTCACCCGCTGGCCTAAAACTGCCACCCGAGATATCCTCACCCGCTGGCTTAAACCTGCCACCCGAAATATCCTCACCCGAGATATCCTCACCCGCTGGCTTAAAACTGCCACCGAAATATCCTCACCCGCTGGCGCTTAAAACTGCCACCCGAGAGATCCTCACCCGCTGGCTTAAAACTGCCACCCGAGATATCCTCACCCGCTGGCTTAAAACTGCCACCCGAAATATCCTCACCCGCTGGCTTAAAACTGCCACCCGAAATATCCTCACCCGCGGAAATAAAACTGCCATCTAACGGCCTGGTGGTTCAGTTCAGTCTGTCAGTGTCTACCTCGCGAGAATCAAATTACGGGCTGCGCCCGTAAAACATTGCTCCGGCAATGCTCCTCGATGTTCAGAATGGGTGGTCCCACTTTGGCGTCATGCTGGCACGAAAGCCCACGGAGTGGGATAAAGCAGTCGAGAGTAAGGTCGAAGGCTGTGGCAACCCATGGGCGTGAACCCATGGGAGATGACGGCGACAGACCACAGCGGGCAAGGACGCTGAGAATGGGACCCGGTGAGCGGGACCCGTGGTAGGGCGACAGAATCCACTGCTCCTTGCCAGGCCCATCCTGAATCCAGCAAGAATGCATACGCCACGCCCTCCTGGCCTGGCCAGGAGGGCCTATACACAGCTCCCGGGTTCAGGATGGGCCTGGCATGCATAGCTTTTGTCGCTCGACGTGGGCGATGAAGGAGGAGGGCCAGGGAAGAGTGGATATGTATAGCTTGTATCGCCCGACGTGGGCGATGATGCAGGAGGACCCCAACGTGCAGTCGGCGTGCTACCGTGAGGAGCGCGGAGCAGGGAGCGGCTGGGGCCGTTCTCCTGGCCAAGGCGGGCCTCGGCCACGAACCGGCTGCGCAGCCCAGGTCCAAGGAGCGGGCCGACCACTGGAGCCTTAAAGGCGGTCCTCCTCTCAGCGTCCTCGCTGTCCGCGAGCGGGCAAGGTAGGCGAACATCTGTAGGCGAACACCTGATGCTCCTGAACAACGGTCGCCGCAGCTCTTCGAGTTGCGTGGTGTCCTCACACGCCTACGGATTGGGGACGCAGCTTGGTTCTACCCCCTGCTGCATCCTCGGGGGACCTTGCCTGTCCCGTCGCGGCCCTGTCCGCGTGGAATCCGCGTCGAATCCAAGTCGGGCTCGGCGGATCCGTGTCGAATGTGTCGAATCCGCGTCGAGTCCACGCCAAATCCGCGCCGAGTCGGCACCGAGCCCGCGTCGGGCACAATAGAAGACACCAATTGTGGGGACAGGCGAGGCCCCCCGAAGATGCAACGTAAATCGGGGGCGGCCAAGGGGGGGCGTCCAAGAGGGGGGGGCGCAAATCATTGCCGGCGGCATGTGCGCGGCCCAGGGGGGGGGCAAGGGACGCAGTGAAATAAGAGGAGGCGCCATGAAATCTGAGGAGATATCATGGCCACCGCCATGATATCCAGCCCCCATTGGGGAATCCAAAACGTACCGATACCGCTACTCCCCGAGCATCTACTGGGGTGCCTTCTGATCAGGATCTCAAGGCGAATCCGGCGGTGGCGGCGAGGGCCTCCCAGGAGGCCCAAAAAAGGGGAAACAGCCGAAGGGCAGAGGTTTGGGTACCTTCTTCCCCCGACCCCTAGTCATCACCCCCCTCTTGGCCGTCCCCGAGCAAAAGCGGGCAAGGTCAGTGAACATCGGACCTGGCTGGCGGAACCTGAACAGGGAGCTAGAAGGGCGGGTCCATTTCAACATCGTTGATGACTCGTGGGTTCACACTGGTCCGCCTCCTCCTCCTCCTCCCCCTCCTCCTCCTCCTCCTCCTCCTCCTCCTCCTCCTCCTCCACCTCCTTCCCCCCAACTTCTGGTGGTGGTGGTGGTGGAAAGCAGGCCCATCAATTCAAATCCTTCGAGGTGCACAACTCTGCAAACTCAGAGGAGAACAAGAAGGTGCCCATTCCCCCTGCCGTTCCCCTTTTGGGGGCCTCCCGAAGGGCCCTCGTCGCCACCGAGAGCACACCCCCAGAAAGGTCTGGGGACGGGCAGCCCCACGCATGCCCGCGCAAACCAGCACTGCCCCCCCCCTCCCCCCCATTCGGACCTGTGCTGCCGACAGGGTGAGCTTATCCATGGGAGGGGGGCGGGCCCCGATAGCCCAGATGATCGCCAGACCCTTGAAAAGACACCCTCCCCGCTCCCAATCCCGCCCTCCCTTTGTCGCCCGACACGCGTGGCCCCGCCGGCGTGGGACCCCGTGCCCCACGGCGGAGCGCCGCCTGCTTCGCGAGGTGGCGCACCTTGGGCGTGGCCAGCACGCCAGGCGCCTGACGCGGGCCCCCCCCCCCGTCGCAAGGGGGACCGTAGGCCTCCCCGGGCCTGGGGGGAGAGGAGGAGGAGGAGGAGGAGGAGGAGGAGGAGGAGGAGGAGGAGGAGGAGGAGGAAGAGGAGGAGGAGGAGGAGGAGGGAGGAGAGGAGAGGAGAGGAGGAAGGAGGAGGAGGAGGAGGAGGAGGAGGAGGGGACGACGAAAACGAAGAGGAGGAGGAGGAGGAGGAGAAGGAGGAGGAGGAGGAGGAGGGGAGAGTGAGGATCACGAAAACGAAGAGGAGGAGTAGGGGCGGGGGAGGATGAGGAGGAGGAGGAGGAGGGGGAGGAGGAAGAGGAGGAGGAGGAGGAGGAGGAGGAGAAGGAGGATTTTTTTTTTGGGGTCGACCCATGATCAGCCACATGACTCCGCTGGCGTGGCGAGTGCCAGCGAGAAAAAGAGACAGGAGCGCAGCGGTGAAGGCACATCACTGCGCAGCAGCACGGCTCGGGCTGTCCACTAAACAAGGACAGCAGACTGGGCGGCGAGGAAGAGCTATACAACCTGCAGCCGCCACCCGAGCAGGGTGCAACACGGGAGCCCACCGAAGGGGTCGTGATGCAGAGACCCAGAAAGCAACTACAGAGCAGAGTAGGCGGCGCCACACTCTACAGGCAGCAGCAAACGGATCCAGGAGCAGCAGACAGGAGGACCGATCGATCCACCCCGCACTCCAGGAAAGACACGGACCCACTGTACAGGGTAGTGCGGACAGTGCACGGGAGCGTGCAGGTGAATCACGAACACGCCTCGAAAAAAGAACGAGAGAGGGCCCTCATCCAACAAGGGGCGCTCTCCGCGCCGTGCGCGGGGCAGGGGAGCAACGGTGCGAGGGTCACTAACGGCGCAACGCCGGGCAGTCCCCACTCGCACCGCGCCCCCCGCCCGCACCCGCCCACTATTCAGGTGCCTCGGGCTCGGGCGCCTGCTGAGCATCGCAGGCACCCCGAGCTCCGAGAAAACAAGCGGCTCGAGGGGCTCGCCCGCCTTGGGATGCAGGCCCCTTCGAGCCAGCTCGAGCATCGACGCGATGGAGGCCAAGACAGCCCGCTGCACTTAAGGGGCCCTTAAGTGCAGCGGATCTGCTCCTGAGGAAACAAGGTACAGGCAACAAGCGAGCCGCGGCAGCTGCTTGCAGCAAACTAATTGGCAGGGAAGATTTAACGTGTTACAGTCAGCCCGTGGCCGACTAGCCTTGCCAGCCGTGCTGGCGAAAGTTCCTGACCAAATTTTTCAACAAGCATCCAGCGCAACATGGGGAGGAGGATAAACGAGGACGCCGCCGCAAGCGTCCTCGCAAACGAAGTGCCTAAGACTGCCCGCTGTGCCGCCGTCACCACAAGGAGCCTTCACCCCGTGGCCGCGCAGCAGCGAGCAAGGGCCGTGCAACAGCAGTGGCGTGAAAGTGAACCGCATCACACACCCTGAGCAAAGGCACAATTAAACCTGACAAAACGTATTGACATCCACCCGCACTCCTGGTTTATTGTATGACGGGTGGAGGCCCTTTTGGAGACGACTCCAAGGATTACAATGCGAGGCCCGTTTCGAAGGCTCACACTTCTTACCTAGGCGATCAAGCCGACCCCCCGACGTGTAATAACCACATTTGTGGCAAATGCAAACGAAACTACCATCCGTACAGTCTATGAGCACACATCTATGCCCTAGATCACGAAGTACTGACGGGTGCACATGCAAAGCGAGCGAGCATGACCCACCAGGAGGTTCGACGCCAAACGTGCCACGACGACCACGCAAGCACGTAGCACATTGCCAATACGAGCCTACCCAATGCCATTCATGTGAAGGTTTCGCAGGAGCCTGCTCTTTAGCAGGTGGCTTGATTCGCTCTAAATCTTTGCCCAAGTCTAACTAGGCCACAAGGACATTAATCTAGCACCCAAACGTCCTACAGCTCGGGCCACGGCCACGGAAAGATCCAGGCCCTCACGCAACTCGTCCGACGGGGCAGGATGCAAGGATGCCGCAACCTTGGCCGAGGTATCAGCCCACGCATTGCCTTGTCTTAAATAGCGATCCCTTTCGTCGACCGCTTCATCGACAGCAAGATGGGCTTTCACTTTGGATACCGTGACTTTGTGCATGTGCGGACGAGCAAACTGAGCCACGCCAGCAAACATATACCTGGCTGATATCTGCTCCATCCAGGGCATCCCGAAAAAATTCACAACATTTAAACAGTCCGAAAAAATGTCACACTGGCCTGTGCTCCACTGAATGGCGATAGACATGGCAAAAAACTCGGCTGCTTGTGGAGTCTGGGGGCATGGCCCCCAAACTGGTCCTCTGACTCTCACTAATTCAAGCCCAGTCTCCCTGTCAACCAAAGTGAAGGCCCAGCCAGCTCGGTTCAATTCTTTCACAATATAACGCGAACACGATCCATCCACGAACATGTCTCCAGCGAACACACTATGAAGGTCCCCAACCTCTCCTTGGGCCCACTCCACCTGAATACCACCTTTATCCAACGGAGCAGGAAAAACATCGCCCGGGTGAGGAAACACCCCAAAGACAGCCAAGTTGTCGTCCACCTGGCTCGCACACTTCTGGATCTTTATGGGCACAATCGAGTTCCTTAGTTCGACTACATCAGGACACTGGCATTCCCACAATCTATGGCGGAGCGTGTCAGGCGCCTCGCCACACAGCGGGCACAGCACGTTCTGCAGCTGGTAGCCTAGGTCTGCCGCACGCGTACGAGTGTACACCGCGTTGCAAAAAAGCGCCCTCAGACAGCCTTTTTCAAAGGCAGAATACTTCGTGCTCTGGAGATAACTAAGGACCCCATCAGTGCAAACACGCCCAGACAAGTTCAGACGAGCCCCCATGTCCCACTCGAGACCTCTCACCACAGCTTTGCGAAGCAGATTCTTAATCAAAGTAGGCGAGAACTCCGTCAATTTAACCTCCTCACCCTTGTCAGTTCTAAAAACAGCGAAGGAAGGCATGGACCAGGAAATCCGCTCACATGATTTTCTCAACGCCGTGATCGGCCCCGAGACCGACCGCCACAAAGGGGAGTCTCCCGAGAAACCAACGTCCCAGGCCTCCCTGAGTTCGGGGAGCGAGAGACAGTGGGGGTAGGTCCGATGGTGAGCAATCCATATTTCCTTCGACCATCTGACCATCGGCTCCGGAGGCTGGTCAAGAGTCGACTTCCCCCACGGCGGCTCCATCAAGCGGTACGGGCGCGCCATCGGCGAGTTCTGATGCCAAGGCGCGCGCAGCCAAGATTTTACAATCAGACCCCCCCAAAGGTGACAGCGCCTGAGGGGGGGAGCCAGCGAGATCAGAATTTTTTGACTTCTTCCAACGGAGGGGGTACCTCCCCCACAGCAGCCTGTGTGTTGGCCAGCCCTGAGTGGATCTCCCAGGGCACCTCTGAGTCACATGCGGTCTCTAATACTAATTTTTTGTGGGCCCACAGTGGCCCTCTCGTTCGGGCGGTTCAGCATACGTTAGCCAGGGCCAAGGGGGCCCTGCTGGCGAATGGTGTTTCTGCTCGGCCGTCGAAACCTATGACCCTTAGGGGCCCGCTTTTGCCTGGTGTTCCTCCCAGGTCCGATGTGCAGTTGATCAGGCCCATGGAGGCCAATGCTTTTCCTCTTGAATCTTTTTCGCCCTCAGTTGAAACCTGTAATGTCTCAGGGTGGGGGCCTGGCCAGCTCTGGTTGCTGAAGACTAGTGCTGATATCGTGATCATGCAGGAGCATAAGCAGTTGGCTAACCAAATCGATCCTGGTTCTTCCTGGGCTAGACGCCACGGGTGGAAAAGTTTATGGAGTGCTGCTGTGCCTGGTGATGGTCAAGGCCCGTCATCGGGAGTCGCTCTCTTTGTTCGTGATGGGCTTGGTCTGCGGGCTCCTGACTCTGGAGCTATCATTATACCGTCGAGGGCTCTGGCAGGCATCGTCGAGGTGCCTGGGCAGCCCACGTTTTTGGTGATGGCCGCCTACTTCCATGACTGCCAGGACCTCTCGGATTCAAACATCGATATCTTGTGTTCGTGTTTGTCCCTGGGGGAGGGCCTCGGTTTCCCTTTTTTCCTGGGCGCGGATTTTAACATGGAGCCTGAGAAGCTCCTGACTGGGGGCCTGGGGGACCAGAAAAGCATCCAGTTCCTGGTGCCTGAGGGTCACACGATGAAATCTGTTGCGGGTCTTAAGCAGTACGATTTCTTTATTGCCTCCTCTGACTTGGCCAAGACGGTCAGCAGTGTGCAGGCCATCCGTGACACCAACCTCTGTACGCATGTCCCAGTCAGGATTAGCATGCATCCGCAGTTCGGGCGGTTGCAGGCTTTGTCTTTTCGGAAACCCCCTCCGCTGCCCACGTCGCCTCTCCCGCCTGTGTGCCTCGTCGCCGCTTGTGAGCCTCCGACGTGGCTGCATGATGTGCTGGACTCGTCTCGTAGAGCGGCGACGGTGGGGGATTTCGAACGAGTTCAGGACTCGGTTGACTTGGTCTATAAACACTGGGCGAATGCTGCCGAGCGTGAGGTCTCCGCTGCCACGGGTAAGGTCCTTCCTGTTTGGGGTTCTCGTGGTAAGCCTCCCCAAATGTGCTGGCGCCCAGTGCTGTCCAAGGACTCTGGCAAAGGCGATGGCACACTGTTTGCTGCTAGGTGGCTGACCAATCTCTTTAGTGAGTTCGAGTGCTACTGGACCGTGGGAGACCAGTCTGGCATCGGACGGGTGCTCGAGCGCCTGGAGCAGCCACCAGCTCAGTGCGCCGCTGATCTAGGCCAGATGGAGAATTTTAGGTCTTCGCTGGAGGAGTTCGTCCGCGAGCTCCCGATGTACGAGCCAGCAGACGGCCCAATGCTTGATTTTTTCCATCACTTGCATGAGATGTGCCGTGACATGCTTGTGAATATTGAGGCTGCCTCTATGAAGCTTGCCAGGAAAGAGTTCAAGGAGTGGTTACTGTTTAAG